AATAATACAAAATTAATCAAGATTTTGAATCTTTAATTTACAAACATGTTGCTAATGGTACTGAGTTTCATTAACAGTTAAACAACAGTGGCATGGACTCATGCATTGTTGGAAAATCCTGCATCTCTATTGTTTTGACAATATTTCATGACCAATTTTGTTGTTTTGACTTCATTTTGACCAAGTCAGTCAGGTTAGTGTTATGTTGTCTAACCATTTAGAGATGTTGTCTTGTTCAAGTGAGATCTCAAACTGAGCCAGTCAGGCTATCCTTGCAAACTGGAAGGAATTTCCACTATAAAAATATTAAAATAACCACACAGTGAAGTTTCGCTTACTGCAATATGGCAGAACTAGAGACAATTAACTTAATATTTGAGGGATGGGGCAAACAAGCTAATGGCCTTTTAAAGATGCATACAACAAACTATCAGAGAGCACATACTAAAACTGCAATGTACAATCCTGGATATAAAACATGCCTTCTCACTTCTCAGATCAGCTGCCCCTACTAGGCAGCTGAGCTTTGTCCTGCACCAGTCCACCACAAGCGCATGCATAACAAAACCCTTGGCTAAGTATATAAAACCTTAATTTCCTCTTTAATACACCAGCACATCATAGTTTCATCTCTTCATATACATGTACTATGCAACTCGATATAGGGAGGGATGAAATTATTGCATAAAGTTAATACAGTAAATACAAAAAGGTTTATCTACAACCACATAAACACTTGTGACATATTTTCTAAAAAATAGAGTACATTCTACCATTTATTCCTAACACTTGTTCATGCAATACTAAAATAAAAATGTGAATTTTAAAATGCTTACCTGTTTATAGTTGACTGCATGTTTATAGACTGCTGTTTATAGCCCGGCTTGAAATATTGTTTTTGTCCACATTTTGGGAGGTTTTAATAGTTGTTTGTTGTCTTCCGCGAACGAGAATAACGTGTACGACTTTCACATCCTTGAACAAATTGTCAAACGTCGAAAAAATATGTCGAAAACATCAAAACAACAAGGATTCACTGCAAAAAGCCCAATTTTTTTTTGCAGAAACCAGGGGGGGGGGGGTGAAAACTGCGGCTGACTCACATTTGAGCCTTGTTCAGTGGCAATTAGGGACCGGTCATTATTTATGGCAGGGGTGTGGGCCAAAGAGAAAGTATAATGAAGCCGGAAAAATCATTGCCCCACCTTTTTCGAAACAAAATTTCTAGCTACCCCACCGGTGGAATGCCAGAAAATTTTTTTACCCCACCCAAACCTATTTTGTTGCAATGTCAAAGGTTCAGACATAAAATATGTAATGAAACAGTTTAGTATTTTGTATGCGTCAAGGTACAAAATTGCCCTTGATGAGTACGATCATCTGCTGTTAGAGAGTAAATAATAATTATTATAGGGTGCTTTGATCACAGTGGCCATTATAATTAAAAGGGAATTGGATTGATTGGTAATACTTGTTTACCAATATCCCTTGCCCCTTATATCTTGTGGAGTAATTAAAGCACACTAACAGTCATGCCTTATTTTGGGTTACCCCTACAATAGCAAGGTACTATATAAAGAATTATAGTTATCCGAAGGCTTAAAATTTGTCTACTTGTAAAATTGAAATATGAATGGGTTTTTATAGTTTGTATTCAACGCTATATTCCCTTTACACGAGATAGTGCAATGCTAGTGGCATAAACATATATTAACCATGCATTGATATAAAACGGTAATCTGTACAGCATATATTTCAATATTTTAGAACACTAACCGTATTTCACCACCCTATCTCTTTCCCACTTTAAAGTTTCACTGCATATAATTTGGTTTCTTTCACATTCTTGAATTTCTTTATTAATTAAAATGCAATTTTATTTTGAAGCACTTTCACAGAATATGTGCTCACCCATGATTCCAACTATCTAAATTCTAAAATTTCCTTTGAAATCCTTTAATATTTCCTTACTATAGAGAATCACATGTATTATCACGGAATTTTAAAGGAATTCCTTAAGAATTCCCAAGGAATTCTTGAAGTTTTTGGAAATCAATTTAATATTTTAATTTGTAAACAATACAACGATACTATAAAAGTATATGTTCCATGTGAGAATATCTGAATTTAGAAAATGATGTTACTGTAAATTAATGAGAAAAAGTTGCTGTTATAGGCTACAGTGTGAAGATAAAGATATTCATCCGAATTCCAAGTATGATTATATAAACAATTAAATTAATCTGTAAAACGGGTAAATATATATTTTTTTATTTTATCCATGTATACATGGTCTGCTAGTAAAGAAAAACAGCTAGTTGCCAAAGACTCAGAACAATGTTTGAGCTGAACATATCATGAACTAGTCATTGGAATGATTCTCCAGATCGATTCACAAGGGGCATGGGGCATATTTCATGATTTGCTACCTGAATTGTCCACATGGTTTACAAGCACATACTGGATATAAATATTTATAGTTATACAGTATCAAGTGTAGATGCCCAAAAATTTAATCCTGAAAATTTAATAGACATATACTTTTTGAGATATGCAATAAGGGGATGTTTATATGGGGGCGAGGCTGGATGCCCGGGGTTAGGGGCTACAGACTTAAGGTCACTTTTCCTGAGGCAAGATCTCGGGCTAAAGGGACGGGATCTCGCTTAGCTATGACTGGGCCCGCTCTTTACCCATATATACACAAGGTGAACTTTAGTAAGAAATAACAACAAAGGCAGGATCTCGCCAAAACTGGGCCAGCTTGGGTACCCTGGGGTTGGCTTGCAGTTGCAACATATAAACAGACCCTATATATAGGCAGTATATATTTTGTCTGGTAATTGGTGTCTTTGGAGATTTTGTGAGTAAATGAATATAAAAATTGCCCTTTACATGTGGGTTGAGGGAGGTGATTCTGTCAACATTTTGCAAAGCAATAATATTTTATTAAAAAATTAGAATAATCACATATTAAACTCTGATAATAGTATATATTGTATTGCGTGTGATTAAAGTAAGGTTATTTTTTTTTATCCCATCTCTGCATGCAAGGATTTTTTGGCCACCCCACCTAAAGCAAGTATTATTTTTCAGTTACCCCACCATTTTCTCTTCGGCCCCCACCCCTGCCATAAATAATGACCGGTCCCTTACCATGAATTTAGCGACCAGTAGTCATGGAAATGGCGTTATTTTCACTCAAAATCCGCCATGTTTTTGGCTTCACTTGGTTGACTGAACGAAGTATAGGAGCAGGTCGTCCAGTTATTATACAGCTCAGTGGTGGACTCCAAGGGAACTGGCCGCCATCTTTTAAGGCACTCATGATGGCCGCCATGTACGTATGGAGGAGAAAATATGCCGCCGAAAAGACATCTGTTTTTGGGAACTGTATAGCTGTATTTCAACAAGAAAAAAACTAAAAACTTTCAACTATACTTGAAATTAAATACAAAACATGTTTCTAGACCGCAAAGCAGTTTTAAAGTTATTATTTCAGGAGTCAAGGTGCGAAGTTTTTTTTTTGCACGTTCAAACTTGTGTAATATTTTGAATATCAAGCTGTTACCCAGGAGGCTTTTACTGTTAGTGGATGTAAAATACTTAGAACTATCCAGGAAACCAGGTTTGAATCTTTAGAGTTGAAGCCTTTTGGTAAAAAGTACTTTTTCTTGCCGATTTTCTCTCAAAAACAAACTTTTAACTGAATATCCCGCTCGTCGAAACTCTCCCTAGTCCTTTTTAATTTGAAAGTTCGCTGAACATAGAAGCGCCATGTTGGCTTCAGGCACGTATGGACATGTTTATCTGCGGTTAGCGTTCCAGTTTTATTACATTTCACTGTATTCACCATGAGACTTTTTGAAGTAATAAGTTTTATATTTTAAATTCGCATTTGGTTTTAATTCATATAATTCAATTCAATTATTCGATCAGTCCATGTCCAATCAGCTCCAATTTTTTCGAATGGATGTAAGAATTTTCTGGCTCGTCCAATAGGTGTGTTCCACTAACAACACGCCCCCCCCCCCCAACACATCCACCCCCTCTTGCGCCGCGCAGTTCGCGCAGACGAGGTCTTGCAGAAGGGGACCAAGTGTATGCGAACGCAATGTTCATTTTTGCAAGTTAAATTACAGCGAGGCGAGCAGGCCCAGAGCTACCAAGGACAGGGGGGGGGAAGGGTGACACTCCCAGAAATTGTATTCGAAGCAGCCAGTTGGCAGGACTGCTATTTTAGTCGGCAGACAAAATATTTTTGACGAATAAAACTACAACCGAAGTTATTTTCACCTGTTATATATATAAGAAACGGAAATTTTGGTTGCTCGAAATTTACTCGGCAGGATAATCATTATAATCCCTTTAATAGTCCAGTCATATTAATATAAGTCCAGATTGAAAGTTAAAGCGAATAGCGATACAAAAGATCTTAAATGAAGTATTTGTAGCATTCTTAATAGGTAGAACCGCTGAACACAATATATTCCCAGAAAATCTCAATTACTGTATCAAATATGGCTATTTAGAACAGGCTTCATTTAGAGCACAACGAGCGTAATTTCAGGAACCGCGGAGCAAACCCCCTCCCCCCCTCGATCTCCCCAATAATTAGCCATACATATGTGATTTTTATAAACTAAGAATATTGAATTCTTTAGGATCAGTGAACAATATATTTATAATTTATATATAATTGACAAGTTTTCAATCTATTTCTGTTTGGATTAAACAAATGACTGGTAATATTATATTAAGAGTCGTCTATTAAGAAACTGTAACAGCAACGAGTAAATTTGATTGCATTTCCAGGGCTCTGGTAGGTCTCAGATTTCAAAATCAAAATTAAGGTACCCCCTTAATCAAACTTAAGGTACCCCCAAGTTCGTTGATCAGTCGGTTGAAAAGTACCCACACCACCCCTCCCCCAATGAAGAATTTCCTGAGGACGGCCCTGGAGGCGAAATCACCGATATGCAAATGACTCGTCCTCTAGCGCAGATAAAAAAATTCAAGCGACTCACAATATGAGAGGTTTACATAAAGTAGTACATCGAGACGAACAAGCGCAGGTGTTTATGGACTTGAGGCACCGCAAATTGAGATGCGCCTGGGAGATCTTGTGCCGTTTCTTGCAAAATTCGTCGGTTTTTTGCAAATCGTGGTATTTCGACAGTTTTGGGGCTTTTCACCAATTTTTTGAGAAAATAAAATTTCAAATTGTCCAATTAAACATGTGATGTCATGTCGGATTATATTCTCGATTCACTTCTTTAATAATAGAGGAGTTCAATAGGGAAATGGAACAAAAAACTTGTCATAATGGAGAAAGCTGCAAGAGGATACATGAGGACTTTTAGTATGTTATCAAGGTTGCTGAAGAGAATGCATTTTTGGCTTTTTATTAATTTTTTCTGACCTATTTACTATTTTGATTGTACTATTACATGCATCACCAAGTTGTATACTAATTCAGTTTGGGTTCGAGATAGATATGATAATTTTTGGAAATGTTCCAAGAATATGAAACGAATGAGTATCTTTAAAAGGTATTTCAAAATAATTTTGACTTCTTTTTCTCGGGTAGCAACTACAATATTCAAAAGTTTAAACATGAATATTCAAGGTTTAGACACGAATAAGGATCGGAACAGAAAGGATCAAGATTTAAAGAACGGCTAAACTATGTTCTATTATAGGGACCAGTACTTAACAAATTATCAAGCATAAAAAATGGATTCCAATTTTTAATACACCCTGAATAGTAGTATTAACTATTGAGCAATACCTGCTGTAAACAGAAATAACTATTCTCTATCTATATAGAGTTTAATTGATAGATTTAACAGTTAATTAATTATTAAACAGATTCTTGATAGTTGTAATTATATGCGATACCTTTTGCTAAAAAGAAAGAAATAAAGGAATATTTTTTAAATTTACGAACTGATTATCAAATTTTATAATATTCCACTGATCTGCATCTTAAATATTTTCAAAGACATTGCTACTGGCCCCCACCACACCACTTATTTCAACATGGTAATGTTTCAACTCTTTATATCAAGAATGTAACATAAAAGCCATTTTGTCTGATTGATGAAAATTTCGAGCGGAAGATTGCATACCATTTTCCGACCAAACCCGAAGCACCAGCGAACGTAGGTTCTCTGACAGGAATCAAACCTGCGGCCTCGCGATTCCAGTGCAGCGCTCTAACCAACTGAGCTACACATTCCAATTAAGAAGCGTTAGCTACAAGTTCTTGTATAATTATAGTGGGAAATGTCAGAATAAGACATGGCCATGGGCGAATATTATTAACATTTTTGGCATCTAGCTCGATAAGTGGATAGAACTAATAGGACTCTATCGCTCAGCTAATTAGAGCGCTGGACCGACTGTCGGGCCTCAGATTCGATAACTGACATAATGGGCCTTTGCTGTTGCTCCTCGTTAGGTTGGAAAATTGTATATGAGCTTTCGTTCGAAATTTCCATCCTCCTCCATGTACAAAAACCCTTCAATTATGAAATATCACATAAAAGTCTTACCTTGGTATACATAATCCGTGTGCATTAAATTGTCCCAGCTTTATGATAACCTTTGGGCTTTTATAACATCTCAAGCCACAATCACATTCGCCATGTATGTTCCAAGGTCCTCCACACTTTTCCCCCTTTATTTTGGCACAAACAGGACAACATCCACATACACCACTTTTCAGTCCACCTTTGCAATTCAGTTTGTATAACGAAGTGCATTTGATCTGGGGTGAGTCACATCTCAGACAGCTAAGGGCTTGAGTGACTGAGAGAATGACTGAAACTGCCAAGGCAATTAAGAGGATGCTCTTCATTTTTTTAGTATAGTTGATAAAGATTTCTGTGAAAAAATGAAATTTTGTTTTCAGTGCAAGAGAAAAGTCAAAAACATTTTAACTGAAAACTTGTGTAAGCGGCGACTGAAAATTTATCAACATATTCACAATGTATATCTTCTCAAAACTTTGAGTAAATTTAAAATTTCACTTAATAAATATTGAGAAAATTTGCTCATATTAATTAATACATATTCAAGGAATTTTACTCAAAATCTTCAGTCGCTGCGGCTGCATTATTTTTCGCAAGCAGCTACTTTGAGATTTCTTGCACGATATATTATTAATAGATGCACTTGCACAGATGTGAAGGAACTGTTTACAGTGACTTATTCTTTCCAATTGACTTAAATCTTCTCTCCCCCGGCCCAAAATCTTGTCGTCGAAGTGAAATATTTTTTGGGAAAATAAATCATTTTGTCGAATAAATAATTCTTATAGATCGGGAAGACTTGAATTTGACAGGACGGAAAGTGATTGACACGGATTAAAAACTAAGAACTATAGCCATGCAAAAGGTGAAGATTATTTACGAACTAAATACTAAGGAAATAAGATAATCTAATGTCCGAAAATTTTTTTGATTGTGAATATCAATTTAGAGGACCGAATTTTTCGATACGAAACGTTGATTAGTGGTTTAAACTTCGTCGGCAAACGGAACACCACACCTCCTCTGCTTTCTCTCCTCGCGACGGCCCTCTCTGACACATGTGTCTTGAAGTCAATCCAATGTTTTAGTCGAGTAGACGGGTTGAACTTCTTCCAATAACTCAAATTATTTTTAGATGTATATAGAGGCAATCTTTAGCAAGTAAGTAAAGTTTTTATTACTTAATTAATAAACATATAATAGTTACGAAAACTAACAAAAGTAGCCCACTAGAATGATGTTACTTGTCATTCCTTACCTCCAGATAGATTGTTTAAACGCGCTATTTCTTGTCTATAGACACTTTATTGTTCTTCCACTATAGCTTCACTGACTGGATCATCTGAGCTTGTACGTTTAGACCAATATATATATATACAACTGAGGGGAAATTACCACTTGGGGGGAAATACTTGCAGCCATGCAGAAGGAAATGAAGTAGCAGTTGCCAATATTTTAAATAGTCCTCTCAAGTTGCTGGTAAAAGCTTCGTGAGCTTGCAACGGAAATAGGCGCTAGAGTTACTTTTTTCCTTACGTCAGATTTGGAAGGTATATCTTTGTCTTAAAAAGCCCTTCCAAAAACGCAACTGAATATGAATCAAGTTTTGCTCTTAAAATAATTTAATGCCTTATAAAACAAAATCAGATATATATTTAGTTGTGAAATCTTTGAATATTCAAGCTCGCTCTGGTTCGATCACAGAGGGTAAACTACCGGCGGAGTGTGGATGAGACATCCCCTCAATCTTCGTAAACATCATATTTTAGAGCAAATCAATAGTATGACTTCGTTGGGCAAATGTTTGCGATAACCGGACAATTTATATAGTCATTCGTGCAGCAGAAAAAAGATATGTGCGTGGTACAGATTAATGTACGTAATATAACATATACATACAGTGTATGATGTTTTCCAAGGTTTTGTTAAAAGGGTAGCTACATGAAACTTTTTGATCGGGAATTAGTTTATCATCTGAACTCATTTTGGGAACGATCATGGATGAGTCATTTTGAACGATGGAACTTACACACGCTCTTCTTGTAGGGCAAGAGACAATAACACCCATCCAGTTGTAGAACCGCACCCATGCCCACCATTAGTATATAACTCATGCAACTTAGGCCTATACATAATAATCATTTACCTTGGAAAGCACGCTCGTATAACCTCTTGATATAAAACTGATTAATAATTAAATCGACTTAATTATTACTACCAACTTACTGACATAAGGCCTACATTAATTCGTTTCTGCTAGCTGTTGTTGTGACCGTCATTCGTTGTTAAATATTGCATATTATACAATAATAATATGACTGCACATGCATGTCATGCTGCATGGTGTTTCTGACGGTTGTTCGTGGCACGTTTCTGCATGTATGTTTGTATTTTGCGAGGTCTAATAATTAAAAAAATAGACAAACATTTCATTTTTTATTTGCTCTTCTTGTGTAATTTTCATCGATGCGGTACAAGATGCATGTAGACGGCGACATCAGAACCACGGCTATCAATACCATGACATTAAACCTATAGCCCAAAACATATAGCTCATGCATGGGTTTTAGACTTTGCCCAAGCTCTGCGAAGTGACAACGGCAAAATGCTACATTTAATATACGTTTCGTATATAGTATAGGCCTATACACTATGATTTCAAGCCGTGACAGGTAGTTTTTCTAGCGGAGTTGTTCAAAATTGCTCTGAAAGTTAAACCTCTATTTTAGTCATTCGAAACTGTATTAAACTCACACAAAAGTAAATACAAGCCGACTATTTTTTTCAAAGATTTTTTTAGCTGTCTGGCGATGCCGTCTCTTTAAACTCTTTAACTAATAACGTGCCGAATGGCGCGCGCTGCGATGTTAGGATATCCTATACATGGCGCTAATTTATTGGTTTTGAGACAAATGATTTTCCAGTACATTAATTGCGGAAGAAGGGAGTGAGCAACACTCAACTATACGCGTACTTAAGATTGAAGTGTAACGCGTGAGTTATATCATGCACACGAAATATAGAACATATAAAATACAGGTTCAATTAAGGTATGAATATTATGAAAATAGTATAATATATCACCGTGATGTGTATCATGCAGTTGTTACGATTAGAAAAGAAAATTACAGACTGGCCAATTATAGACTGGTTAGTTAACCGTGGAGGTTAACTGGAGGTTAATATATACATGCACTGGACCAGTCAATTATAGACTGCAGATATGCGTGATTCAGATACATTATCAACATTCATAAATGTGACGCTTGTAAATTCTAATACAATGTTGTTAATTTTGTACATAATTGTTTTGTATAGTTATTTGTAGTTTAGTGTGCGTAATATTTTGTTATATAATATCATGTAATTATGCACACGCCCCTCGTAGAAATCGGCATATAGTTGACGGGGCCGGCGCCAGCGTGTGATCTTTTAAATAAAGTTTTACCTACCTACCTACTGTACCTACCTGGTCAATTAGTTGTTAAGTAGGACATATTTAATTCAAATCATCGCGACAGGGGTTATTTTAATTATAGAAATTTAATCACTGCCCAAATTGCAGCATATATCGCACATGCAGGTGAATCAGCGCTGTGTGGCTCTCTGTAGATTTGTAAATTATCCAGTTCTGCAATAGGTCACCTAAAAATTGGCTACTTTCCAATATTTGAATCAAATTAATGCAGAACAGGAAAATCGGCAGATTTATAAATGGGGATATGGGCATAACTTGAAATTAAACCAGGGAACCGCCATAAAGTCAGCCAAATAGGTGGTGGGAAATTGCAAAAGATATTCCATAATCAAAGAAGCAATATGAGGAAAAATAAAAGCATAATATTGTTTGGTTATGGGAATCTGCACTTTTTCTTGCTCATATGTCATGCAGGAAAAGGATACCTTCACGCAATTGAATAAAATTTAAGTGAAAACCAGCAGAACTTATTGTCTTCTTTGTGTATTTGGCTATTTGCTAAACTATGTACAATATGTACTTTTGAACAATTTAAATTATAATTTTGGATAAGTAATGCAATCCTTTCTCAATTTAATGTCACCTATATAATGCTGACAAGAAAAATATTACTGCAATATCTCATGTATCACTGAACAATTGCAAATTGGTTCAAAATTCCATTGAGCACTGCACCTTAAAATATTAATCCCTGCATGGGGATGTCGTTACTGTCTTTATTATCGAAACGGGTTACTGTTTTTATGGTGTAAAACAACGTGAATATAACAAGCGTGAGAATAACAAGCTGAATGCGTGGCGACGATATTAGGATACCCTACATCACTGGGAAATCCATACTATGAAATTTTCAATTGCACCACTAAATCCATATAGTATATCCATATATTTCCGTGCTGCATCCATAGTATATGGAAATTGCAATTGGTATTAAATTTGGATTTCCATATAATATACTATTTCCAACAAAGATCCATAGCTCTATCGATATGTCATTTTTGTGATCAATTAATTTCCCATTTCATCCATGCGGGGGAAGAGAGTGAGCAACACTTAACTGAACGAGTACTTAAGATTCAAGAGAAAGGCGTGGGTTATGGCATGCACACGCACTCTAGAATAAAATTTCAGCTTCCAAAAAGATATGAATTTTAATAATGGGACAATAAGTATATATATATATATATATATATATATATATATATATATATATATATATATATATATATGTTATTTACCGGATTGGAGGTCCGTATAGAGAAATATTTCTCAAGGTCTTAAAAACGGCCCGAGGCCGAAGGCCGAGGGACGCTTTTAAGACCGAGAGAAATATTTCTCTATACGGAGCAACCATACCGGTAAATACCTCCTCTGGATTTCCCCAATCACCCTTCCCGCACGCGAATGAAGCTGCCAAATAAAACGTCGTTTCTATCAATTCTATCGGGAAGAGTAATATCTTTTGTGAAATAGTAAAATTCGCTTTCACTGTGTTCTTCATCGTCTGCTGACATTTTAATATTTTAAAAAGTAGCCTTTAAACTCGTCTTTAAATTTTGAAAAATAAAAACATTGGCTCTACGGCTTTAAATCTCGCGCGGTCCGTACGGGCTCATACGGACCGCGCACGTAGCCAATCAGATTGCAGAAAAGCGTAAAATATTACTTCGGACCGCAAGCAAGAAAAAAAAAATATTATATATCAATAGTCAAAGTCGCATTTTTCTAGTGTTTTATTGGTTGAGAGCATATCACGTGAAAGTGACAAAATTAAGCTGTCTCCCTCGCAACAGCGCGAGAGGGAGATAATACATTATAGACTGGCGAATAACAAAAAAAATTACGTGCCCCATCACGTGAAAATGCGACCTTTGGACATGCCTAGTACGTAATTAAAACTTTTGCTTTAAGTAACTGCAGTGTAGCCAGTGTTTAATATAACGTTTTAACAATAAAATGTTTCATGTATTTACGTTCATTTGTTCTTTATTTTGTTGTTTCGACGGTCTCGGGTCCACAAAACACACTGTTTCCCGAGGTCTCAGTAAATAAGTGATAAATATCACTGTTATGTATCACGCAGTTATAATACGATAAGAAAAAATAACGGTCCGGAGTTATCGTTTTCAGTTGATATATTATGTTCATGTTATTTTTTTCTGTAAAGAGTGTAATTGTTTCAATTAGAATTTTTAAGTAGAACATAATTATTTTATTGACATATTGTTATACAGGGTAGGTATAAATTATATTATAGTGCATCTTGCCATAATCTCATAGTTTTTTACTGTAATTTTTATTCTTTACGATATATGCACACGAGTAGTTTTATTGAATTATTAGAACAAAATTTCGGTTGATAGGTATCCAATTACCTAAAAAAAAGACAAGAAACACATTTACAAGTACTTCCTGTATTGTTCATGCAGGCCCCCTGGTAGAAAGCCTAGATACAGTATGATCCTAACAAGATCCTAACAGGATCCTAACAAGATACTAACAGGATCCTAGCAGGATCTTTCCAGGATCTTTCTAGGATCCTACTACGATCCTACAAGATACATACTAGGATCCTATTCAGGTTCCTGTAGGATCCTACAGGATCCTATTCGGGATCCTACAAAGTTCCTAGCCGGATCTTGTCAGAATCCTGCAAAGTTCCTAGCAGGATCCTGTCAGGATCCTGGAATGTTCCTGGCAGAATATTGTCAGGATCTTGCACAGTTCCTAGCAGGATCCTGTAGAATCTAATCAGGATCTTACAATGTTCCTAGCAGGATCCTATAGGATTTTGCCAGGATCCTACAGAATTCCTAGCACAATCCTATAGGATTTTGTCAGGATATACAGAATCTAATGTCAGGAGCTACACTACAAAGCACAAAATTACATGCTTTAAAGAAAGTTATACTTGTCCCTTGGGTATGTAAAATATTCTAGGTAAGAATCAGATTTCAAGAAAATTATTCTTAAAATAAGAGAATTATTCTGCGTTAGAACAAAATTCTTGGTAAGAAAATTTTTCTAATATTGTCCCGTAGGTAAAATTTTCTTTTCATGAATATTTTTCTTATTTGAAGCAAACGTTGTGGCAAAATTCTAGAAAAAAATTCTTAATTCCCACGAATTCTTTTCTATTAATAAGAAAATTTTGCTTGAATGTATTCTTAAAATAAGAAAAATAATCATAATAAGAAAATTTAACTTACCCCGGGACAAAATTAGAAGAATTATGTTGAATTAGAAGAATTATTCTAGTTCGATCTGGTGTGTGTGGCGTTTAAGAATATTTTTCTTAAATGACAAAATGAAACTACTGTAGAATAATAATCTTGGCATGATTTTTTGCTGTTGTAAAAATATAAAAACAATATAAAAACAATTAAGAACGTTTAAAATAATATATTTACCAGCTATACATGAATAGGTTATTAACCTAGGTTATTAACCCATTAAGCTGCAGAGCTTCCCATTGACGAGTAAAAGCGTCTGGTATTAGACAAGTAAAAAAATAAGTAGGGCGCACTGGTGCGTATTGCGGCTCAATGGGTCACCGATAGATAAAAGTAAAAGTTCTCACTGGTAGCAATATTGTTCAATTTTTTGAAAAGCCTTTCCCATGTTAGACTGCCAAGTCTGGATGGGAGTCCAAGTCGAGCAGGTAGAACGACGCCAGGAAGCAAATCACGACTTTGACAGTTTCGCCATTCTCGAATGTTACCAATAGCTCCTTGTCATAATCATCCCTGGTTCAGTATGTCAGCGGGCTTCTTTTGCACTATCCAGGTAGTACTCAAAGCCATGTCTCCTTCCTTATGTAGAAAAAAAACCCACAAAATTAGTTTTGGTAACAACTACACAACCCATTAATTAACAGCTTATTTTTTCACTAACAAGCTATCCTCAGCTCTGGGATTAGACAGAGCGAAATACTATGATGGATGGAAAAAGAGAGTCACCGGCAGATAGATTTGTTGGCCCATATTTACATGCATAAAAATTAATACTAATTAATTTACATTTTTAATAAGAGCACTGTGATTTTGAGAGCTAAAAAATGCGATTTTCATATAATTTATTAGTAAACAGTAACCAAAATGCAACTTTCATTCATTATTTTCTATTAACAACTAATGCCTGAGTGCTAATGAATCCAATGTTGGTGCTCTAATTAATTAAAAAAAAAATTATATATATATGATTTATATATTACTACCAGATAGTGGGTCTAATTGAATATTTTATCAATCAGCTTCTTTTCACAATTCTTCATGTATGTGCCTAATTCTTCTGCTTCAATTTTATATATTGGGTTAACAATTTTATAATTCAGATAGAAAACTTTGTGATTTCTTCAAGTTTAATATTCTCAAATATAAATTTCCATATTTTGGCTTAATATATAGGCATGTAGATCAGCAATGTAGCCATATTATTCATATTCACATACTGTTTAATATACTATGTGGGTTCAAACATGCTTTCTCGAGATTTGTCAAATAAATGCAACCCAGTATTTACTATAATGTGTTTATTCAAAATTTGGTGTTAACTAATATTTGACGGCATTGAAATGAAATAATTCAATATAAATCTCGCGCGCGCAAATTCAAATTTTAGCAGCCACAACCGGCCAACAGCCACAAGATAAAATGAGTAAATAGTGTCGATCGATGTTATAATTATATGATATAAACAGTAATATTTCATACCTGAGATCAATAAGCCTTAGGCGGGGGGATTCGGAGTCACTTATCCAATACAAAATATACCTTTTCCTCGAGCTTTTCATCATCGAAATATTAAATATACTCAAACGAAAAAAATCACACTTCACTTGACATTTGATACACGATATCCCACAACTCATTGCGCGCGTGGGCCCTTGTCTTCTAAAATAGATACACCAAAAAGCGCTTCCAATCTATTGCTAGCTTGAAATGTGTTAATGATCATAAAAAATGGTGAAAATTTTTATAAGCGAATAATGAGATAGATTTTCTAAAATATATATATATATATATATATATATCAATATCATATCTCATCTTAGCCATGCTATGTCTTAAATTTTCTTTTTAGGGTCCTATTCAGGATCTTCTTAATTTTCTGGTAATATTCTGGTTAGGATCATGCATGCTATTAAATTCCAGGATCCCACTGTACATTTTTCTTATAGGATCCTAGTCAGAATCCTGTTAATTTTCTTGGTAGTATCGTATCCAGGATCCTGTTTTTAAATGCCAGGATCCTAGATTTTCCTTATAGGATCCTATTTACGATCCTGTAAATTTCCGTGCAGTATCCTGGTTAGGATACTGTTATTAAATGCCAGGATCCTAGATTTTCCTTATAGTATCCTACTAGCTCAGGATCCTGTCACTTTTCCTCTTGTATCCTGGTTAGGATCCTGTTATTAAATTCCAGGATGCTAGATTTTCTTTATAGGATCCTGTCACTTTTCCTCAGTATCCTGGTTAAGATCCTGCTATTAAATGCCAGGATCCTAGATTATCCTTATCCTATCCCACCCAGGATCCTGTCACTTTTCCTCTAGTATCCTGGACGACTGGTTAGGATCCTGTTATTAAATGCCAGGATCCTAGATTTTCGTCATAGGATCCTACTCAGGATCCTATCAGTTTTCATCTAGTATCCTGGTTAAGATCCTGTTATTAAATGCCAGGATCGATCCTAGATTTTCCTTATAGTAGTATCCTATTCAGGATCCTGTCAATTTTCCTGTAGTATCCTTGGTTAGGATCTTGTTATTCAATGCCAGGATTGTAGATTTTTCTTATAGGACCTACTCAGGATCACAATAGCCTTTATATTAACGAGAGCTTAACTGCTAAAAGTCGTGCTATATTCACTGAAGCAAAGAAATTTCGAAATGAACATAACTTTAAATTCATCTGGACTAAAAATGGTCATGTACATCTCAAGAAGAATGATAGTCAAACCTCAAGATCCAATGTATTTAAATCAATGCAGGAATTTAAAGACTTTGAATGTGGTTTCCATTGTCAGCGTGATCAACGTAGTCCCATCTCATGAACGAACGCAATCAACTTGCTCTGGCCCAGCTAAGTGTTATTTATAACCTTATTATCTTTGATATCTTTCGATTGCCCTAATAGTGTTTTTCCCTTTTACACTCTTGACGATGATGGCTTTGAATTAGAAATGTATCAAATGCAACATAGTCGAGTGAATTTTGATGAAGAAAGGTTATTGAGTTTAAAACTAAACCCCTTGCATCGTAATCTTCACAAGAATTTAACTCTATCTTCTAACTTAGATCCGGACTCCAACTTTCGTGATGAAAAATTTAATTGCGATTTTTTTAATGAATGTAGTTTAAATAACTTACTGCTCAACTCATCTCAAAATACTAACCACTTATCTTTCATGCATTTGAATATTCGTAGTTTAAACTGTAATCTAAATAGTCTGCAGAACTTGCTCGCAAGAATACATAATCCGTCTTCGGTCATTGGAATTTCCGAAACCTGGTTTCAGAATTCACTCCACCAGGTTGACATTAATGGGTATAACTTTGAACACAACTATCGTTCCAACAGAACCGGAGGTGGGGTTGGGATGTATATCGCATCTACACTTGATTACAAAATTCGTTATGATTTGTGCTTTGAAAATACCGAAATTGCTGAATCGTTATTCATTGAGATTGCAAATCCCAAGGGTAAGAATTATGTTGTGGGAGTGATATATAGACGGGCTAAATATACTGATCGATAAAGTCTCCAGAGGTAACAAAAAAAGTTATATCATGGGTGACCTTAACTTAGATTTATTAAATCAAAGTTTTCACCAGTTCACAAATGAGTTTCTTGACATAATGTATGCTAATATGTTTTTTCTTGCCATAACGCTTCCCACCAGAATAACCTCACACTCCGCTACGCTTATTGACAATATATTTTCTAACGATATTGATCAATATGTTTTTAGTGGTTTAATCTTATCTGACATATCCGATCACTTAACTATCTTTCTTATTTCCAATGATAACGAACCACTGACTGATGAAGCTTCATATACCGTTTTTCGTGACAAAAGCGAAAAAAATAGAAACGAATTCCGCAATCGTTTACACGACATTAATTGGTATAATCTCGAAAATATTCATGAGCCAAAAAAGGCCTACTCCAGTTTCTTGAATATTTTTACTAATCTTTACAATTCCTGTTTTTCGCTCACAAAGATAAAAAATAAAAGGTCAACAGTTTTCAAACCTTGGCTTTCCAACGGCCTTTTAAAATCAATAAGAAAAAAGAACCAGTTGTACAAACGTTATTTAAACTCTCCAACTGCTGACAACACGGATAGATACAAAAGATTTAAGAACAAATTAAATCATTTATTACGCATCGCGAAACGCCATTACTACGAGGATCTAATCGAGCATAATAAGTCTAACTGTAAAAAAACCTGGAGCATCTTGAATGAAGTAATCAACAAAAACAAACGACGGAATAGCAGGCTTCTATCCACATTTGTAATCAATGATAACGACTGCTCTGACTCTCCCACAATTGCTGATCATTTTTGCGATTATTTCTCCAATATAGGCCCCAATTTATCCAAAAAGTTACCTATTGTACCGGTCTCGCACACTTCTTTTCTCACTGGTAATTTCACAAATACTATGTTCTTCGAGCCGACTACAGAACAAGAGATAACTGCCGTAGTCAAATCTTTCAGAAATGGTCTTGCCACTGGATATGATAATTTACCTATCAACACTATTAAAGACTGCATAGACTTAATATCCATTCCTTTAACCCACCTTGTCAACTTGTCGATTTCATCCGGCTTTTTTCCTGATGAACTGAAAATCGCTCGGTTTTCGAAGCGGTCATTCAACTTCTTTAGCCTTGTTGCAACTATACAATAAAATTTCATCCGCTATTGACCTCAATGAATTTACAATTGGCATCTTCTTAGATCTATCCAAAGCCTTCGACACTGTTAACCATAGTATCTTGTTTGATAAACTACAGATTATGGAATTCGTGGAGTAGCACTTGATTGGTTTAAAAGTTACTTTAGTAATAGACTCCAATTTGTTCAGTTCAATGGGGTGTACTCGAAAAAAAACTCTATTTATTGTGGTGTACCCCAAGGTTCAATACTAGCTCCACTTCTCTTTTTGCTTTATATTAATGACATTAATAAGGTCTCCAACATTGCTGACCTTATCTTATTCGCTGATGACACAAACCTGTTTTTCTCGCATAACAATTTGCCGTTCCTTATTGATCAAGTAAATGGAGAACTGGACAAGCTAACCGTGTGGCTATCAGCAAATAAACTATCAATTAATTTGAAGAAAACCAATTTTATGATTTTTAGACCAAGACAAAAAAAGTTTCATATCAATCCTAAAATAGTCTTAAATAGCTTTGAGATTGATATGGTTGATGAAGTTAGTTTTCTTGGAGTTATTTTAGACGCAAATTTAACGTGGAAGTCCCATATATCCCATGTATCAAGAAAAATGTCGAAATCCATTGGAATTATCAAGAAAGCTAGTTTTTGTCTTCCGACACGATCTTTAATATCATTGTACTACGCTCTCGTTTACCCATACATGCAATATTGTATCCTAGTTTGGGGTTCAACTTACCCTTCAAACTTAAATCGTATTGCTCTTTTGCAAAAGCGAATGATCAGCATTGTTTATAAAACCTCATATGATGCACACACATATCCCATTTTTAACGAGCTTGAGATTCTTCCATTTAACAACATTTATTTGTTTCATTTAGGCTTGTTTATGTATCAGTTCCATAATTGTATGTTACCGTCTAATTTTGATGAGTATTTCACATGTGTTAACCGAGTTCACAATTATAATACGCGACAATCGAATTTGTATTTCCTCCCATTTTGTAGAACTAACCTGAGAAAATTTGCTATTATTTACCAAGGTCCTAAATTTTTTAACTCCCTCCCCAAAAATATATATGATGCTTCATCCGTCTCCGGTTTTCGGAAAAAACTTAAAGAATATTTATTTAGACTTTAATTTTGTATTATTTAAACACACAATTAATGTAATATAGTTTCTATCTATGCTTTGTCAAAAACCTGATCCCAATTGTTTGGTCTATTTTTCCTTTTCATCCAAATTTTGTTTGTTCGTTCGCACATTGTATCTTGCTCGATATGTTTTTACAGCTAACACTAAAATTTTGCTATATATGTATTACTGTAGTTTGATCTAGGTGGCCCAAATTACATAAGCCCTTATGGTTTCTTTTGGGTTTCCTTGCCTTACAAAATGTTGTGTTTTTTTCTCTTTGATATTGTAAACATTTTTTTTTTTTATTGCCTAAAATAAATTGACTTGACTTGACTTGAATAACCAAATGATACTTACCAACGAAACTAATCTTCATTATGCAGTTGTAAGGTATATAAGAGACAACCACACAGATGCTGTAATCGTACATGGACTAGGTGAGTACCAAGATACTGGCTCACGTAGATGTGATGCCTGGAGGAAGGGATACAAAGGTGGACAGCCAGATCTCATACTAGCTAACCCAATGAATGGTTACACCGGATTTGCAATTGAACTTAAGTCCCCTAAAGGCACAGGCATAATAAGCGAAAACCAAATGACGTGGCTGAACTTGCTACGAAAGAGGGGCTACATGACACTTATATCTGATAACTACGCAAAACCTGTTATACAGCTAAATGAGTACTTCAAACCAGACAACAGACAAGCATAAGAAGGAAACGGCCAACCTGAGGAAACAGTGTAACATACTTAAGAAGAAACTGATTGAAGAGGTGGTAAGTCACTGACCTAAGTTCAGAGCATACAAGTACTAGTGTAGTTACGGTTAAGGATAAGAACAAAATTAAAAGATGCTCGGCAACATTTGTCGGGCATTTTTTAAGCAATCCCCTCAAACTGCCCAGTAGAACTGAGACATATCATAGTTACCTCACAAGTAGATCCAGGTTATCTCACCAGATATCTCACAAGCAAATTTGAGTTATCTCACAAGCAGATCCCAGTTATCTCACCAGATATCTCACAAGTAGATCCCAGTTATCTGGCCAGTAGATTTGAGTTATCTTACAAGTAGAATTCAAGATATCTCGTAAGATGAAAGCCAGTAAAACCTAAGGTATCTTACAAGTAGAATGGCAGATAAACCTGAGCAAATTCAAGTACCAGTAACAAGTGAAAAGAAGAAAGACCCTAGAAGAGTAGCTGCAGGGAAACGATTGGCGGCAATCAGTAAGATAGCCAAGGAGAGGAAAAAGAAACAGGCGGAATCTGGTGAGTCATCTGATGGTGGCAGCATGGTCACATACGTAGGGATAGCTATTGCCCTCATCACCCTAGTCATAACATTCAGGATGAACCAGAGGGAAGAGAAAGCACTTGAACCTAAGTATACACCATCAACTGTAACAATAGAAAGACAGCCGGACAGATCCTCTATGGACACCCTTGAGTGACACATTAAACATACCATATATTATAACAAGATGAGTACGGAATCAAAGATGAGCAAGGAAGTGTACGACGCAGTGCTACTTACAGCAGGAGCAGTTGGTATATCAATAGCATCAAAGAAGATATTGAAAGAACCCTTAGGTACCCCAGAGAATGTGAAAGGAATGTTGAAGTTAGCTGTTTCAGTTAGTCTATCATCCCTACTAGTCTCTTACCTGAAAGAAAAGAAGTATCTACCAGATGATCCATTCAAAACCTAGGTAGAATTATACAATGGCTGGGGCAGTTGCAGGAGGACTCTTCAATGCATTTGCATTTGCAGGAGCAGGATACCTATTTAAGATGTTTGACAAGAATGGGTACGCTGAGGAAGCCAAAGCTACAACTACAACAAGGACGACTATCTTAAGAAGAAGACTTCACACAATAGGGTACGCTGGTTTGGGAGACAACTACTGAAACATGTAGATAACCCAGACAGGACTATACTACGAAATCAGTTTCAGAAGGTAGTTAGATGTATACAGAGACTTAGATTACAGAGAGGCCGCAACATTGTTAGATACAAGTTTTATCTACTCAGGTTAGCTAGCATGAATGGCATTAAGCTGAGGGACCCACCAGAGGACATTAGGACCCAAAAGATAGTGAACGTGCTTGAGGACAGACTATACGGAAAAGTATTCGTTGAGTTTGGATGGCAGCCTGAAAATTGTACATATTATAATAACTGGAAAAATAGAAACACTTAAAGAAATATTAATATAGTAAATTAATAATGTATACCGAAAATGTTTTAATAAAAACTGTAGTAATCCCTCCGAATCAAATGAATAGAAACATAATTAAAAATATACTAAATAATCTACAGGAAACCGTTGAGGGAAAATGCTACGGTAATTACGGAGTGGTTACTAAGGTGCACGGAATCAAAAAGCTCTCTGGAGGTGGAATACAAGCAGAAGACATTAGGGCAGCGGCGTACTTTACTGTCCACTTCACATGCACTTTGTGTAGACTTGAGGAGGGGGCAATTGTTGAAAGAAAGGTTAGACGTATCAACGGCAGGATCATTGTAATAAAGAACGGTCCGGTGACCATCCTCGCTACAACAGATAAGTGTATGACAGCCGGTGAAGACTGCAAAGTCAAAGTCCTGTCTGTAACCCTAATAGGCGGCGAGCCAACAATTACAACAACCGGGAAAATAATAAATTAAATAAATAGTAATAATACAATTAAATTAAATACAAATTAAATATAGATTAAATTAATTATAATTAAATATAATTAAATTAAATATAAATTAAATACAAATTAATTAATTAAAAAATACCCCTAATTTTTTCGAAACATATAGTATAGGAGAGAGTAAGAAAAATGAGTTCAATAAATTCAGAGATTAGCATGGAAGAGTTAATGGCGCTTGGAAGTTACTTTAGTGGAAACATCCCAGAAGACAGCTACGAGTTCGAGCAGGAAGTGGAGAAATTCCTTGAGGACCCTCAACCAATAAGGCGAAGGGAAGATGAAGAGGGTGTAGTGATAAGACCACGTAAGAAGCTCGTGAGTAGTGCCCCTAGCAAGAAGAAAGGGACGGCACCACAATGGAGACTATCAGAGTGTCAAAGAGAAATGGCCGAAATAGTGGACCTGGCACATGAACGTCTGAAAGGAACACCAGGAGTTCCCGAGTTCTCGGGTGGTCTAACAAGCACAAGCAACAGGATCGTCACTGAAGAAGTAGAAAGGATAAAAGCTGAGCGTAACCCAGTAGTGCCCAAAAAGAGGGGAAAACCAGCTAAGCCCAAAGTAGAGGGAGAACCTAAGGTGCTCAAGAAGGGAGGAAGACCAGCCAAGTCCAAGGTAGAGGGAGAACCTAAGGTGCCCAAGAAGAGAGGAAGACCAGCTAAGACAGTTGAACCGAAGAAAACGATCTCCGACAAAGACAAGCCCAAGAGGCAGAGTGTAGCTGATAGATTCAAAGCTCAGATGAAGAGGCAGAGCGTAGCGAACAGGTTCAAAGCTCAAGGCCTAGTAAGACCAACAATACCTGCAGATAGTGCGGTCACAAAGGTGGGGCCCGGTAGGTACAACATATTAGGTCTCCTGAATAAGAGACCTAGTAGGTCTCCTGAATGAGAGACCTACTAGGAAGGCACCTGACATACCACAAGGTGTTAGTCCGTGGAGACCAGTACCCAAGCCGAGGACAGTGTTCCCCAGAGAAAGACCCACACCGAAGCCTAGGACAAAGCTCCCTGTGAAGAGACCCGTACCGAAGCCTAGGACAGTGTTCCCCGGAGAGAGACCCATACCGAAGCCCAGGACAATGCTCCCTACACCTGAGGTAGTAAAGGCACGTAAGCCTCTGAGACAAACGAAGGAAACAAAAGAGCAACCACCAGTGGTGGACATTGAGGAGCATGAGATAGATCCATTCGGAACAGACCTCCAAATGCCAGGTCATAGAAATATAGAGTCGGCAGCTAATGGAGCATCTGTAACATACTCAATAACGCCACAATATGATGACCCAATAAACCAGCTGACATCAAGCAGGCAGGTAGTGAGAAGCATATTGGTGAACGAGCTAAAGAAGATGGGTGGCATAAAATACACAGAGACACTAAAGGCGAGGATGTCAAAGGAAGTTGGAAATGACAAGACAAAGAAAGACTCAGTGTACTTCAAGTCTAAGACAGGAACAGTGACCAACTTTGACGACATTGAACGAACAGCTGTCTTTAACCAACAGATGATAATATCTAGAATAGAATCATTTCAGAATCTAGGGAGTAACTGGGTGGTGATGAATATAGAGAGCCACTACGTTAACATTGCAACGTACAAGCCTCTAGCTGGTAGTTCATACATGGAACTTCCTGAGGACATAAAGCAACTCTAAGTGTGGATTGATTAATATGATGAACGATGATAACATGTGCTTCATGTGATGCCATGTTAGACACCTTAGACCTAAAGATAGGAGAGCAACAACAATTACCAAAAAGGATAGGGAATTCGAGCTAACTCTGGATTATAAAGATATTGAGTTTCCAGTAAAGATAAGTGACATAGAGAAAGTAGAAAAGAAGAATAAGATTAACATATCAGTGTTGGGATACAAAGGCAAGAAACAGTTCTACCCAATAAGGATATCAAAGGGGAACACGAAGATCACATGGAACTACTACTATTAGGTGATGGTACAGGTAAGCTACACTATGTGTTGATAAAGGATGTTAACAGACTACTGTGTACTGTAAACAAGACCAAGAAGAAGGCACACTTCTGTCTACACTGTGTAAGTGAGGAAGCACTTGCTAAGCATAAGGAGATCTGTATGGAAGTAAATGGAACTCAAGCTGTAAAGCTCCCCAAGTCGGGGTCAAAGATAAAGTTTAAAAATCTTAGGAATAGTCTACCTGTGCCATTCGTAATATACGCAAACTTTGAATCGATACTTGTACCTGAAGAGACTACTGATAGTGACAGCGATAGTGACAGAAGTTACACAGAGAAATACCAGACTCATCAAGCTTGTAGCTTTGGACTGAAGACGGTATGTCACTACAACGATAACTACTCTGGAAAGTACACAAGCTACATTGGAAAGGATGCGGCATACGTATTCCTTAAGACTGTCATTGAGGAGTCAAAAAGATGTAGGCAAATAACTAATAAAGCATTCGACAAGAAAATGGTTATCTCACCTGAGGAAGAGAAACAATTCATGAATGCATCAAACTGTTACCTATGTGGTGGACTACTTGGTGAAGATAGAGTTAGAGATCATTGTCACATCAAAGGACACTACAGAGGAGCTGCAAATAATATATGTAATCTGAAGTTTAGCATAGCATGGAAAATACCCGTGGCTTCCATAACTTGAGAGGATACGATAGCCATCTTATCATGCAAGAGATAGGCAAGTTCGGAATGGATGTAAACGTGATACCCAACAATATGGAAAAGTATATATCATTCTCACTAGGAAGCTATCTAACTTTCATTGACTCTATCCAATTCATGTCCTCTTCATTACAGGAACTTGTAAACAACCTGTCACCTGAGGACTTCAGAATAGTAGGTAAGCGGTGGCAAGGGGAGGATCTTAAGTTGGTAACACAGAAAGGAATATTCCCCTATGAGTTCATGGATAGTATGGATAAGCTACAGTCAAAGGGGCTCCCAAGTAAGGACAAGTTCTATTCAACATTGTATGAATTTGATGTGAGTGATGAAGATTACCAAAGAGCGCAGAGAGTATGGAGTCACTTCAACATGAAAACAATGAAGGACTACCATGATCTCTACCTTGAGACTGACGTTCTTTTATTAGCTGACGTATTCGAAAACTTTAGAAGAACCTGTATGAAAAGCTACGAGCTCGACCCAGCACATTACGTCTCTGCTCAGTTGGGACGCCTTTCTGAAAAGGTCAGGTAGGGAAATAGAACTGGTAAGTGATATGGACATGTTTCAGTTGTTTGAAAAGGGAATGAGAGGTGGTACAATTTACATTGGTCATAGACACTAGCAGCTAACAATAAGTATATGGAGGAGTACAACGAAGACAAAGAGAGTAGGTACCTTATGTACCTAGACGCTAACAATTTATATGGATGGGCAATGTCACAACCGCTACCTATTGGTCAATTCGAGTGGGTTAAGAACACGGACAACATTAATCTTGATGATTACATAAATGACGAGGGTAGGGGTATGGTCTTTGAGGTTGATATGGAATACCCAAGTGAACTACATGATCTGCACAATGGATATCTACTAGCTCCTGAGAGCATGAAGATAAAACCTGAGATGTTGTCAGACTATGCGAAAGACATAGCTAAGAAGTTCAAGCTCACAATTGGTGGGGTACACAAGTTAGTAACATCGTTGGGGTCAAAGAAGAACTATGTTGTACATGTACGTAATCTGAAGCTTTACACTGACCTTGGTATGAAACTAACTAAGGTACATAGAGCTGTCACGTTCAAGCAGTCATGTTGGCTTAAGGATTACATTGCATTCAATACAAAGATGAGGTCAACTGCAAAGAACACATTTGAAAAGAACTTCTTCAAGCTCATGAATAATTCAATATACGGAAAGACCATGGAGAACCTGAGGAAGAGAGTTGATGTGAAACTTGTATCCTCAGAAGAAGACTTCATAAAGTTGGTTGCCTCACCATGCTTCCAATCATCTAGAATAATGAATGAGAATCTGATTGCAGTCAAAGGAGTAAAGAAAGTGTTAACCCTTAATAAGCCATGCTATGTGGGCATGTGTATTCTGGACTTATCTAAGACACTGATGTATGACTTCCACTACAACACAATCAAGAAGGAGTATGGTGACAATGCAAGACTATGGAGTATGGTAACAGACACAGACAGCTTGATGTATGAGATTAAGACAGACGATGTGTACAGGGACTTTGAAAAAATAGGGAAGCAAAAGGATTGTTGGGATAACTCAGATTACCCGAAGGATAGCCCCTACCACTTAGCCCACAATAAGAAGGTTATTGGTAAGTTCAAGGACGAGGTTAGTGGTGTACCAATCACAGAGTTCGTTGGACTGCGAT